GCGCGTTCAGTGCCTTCGCAGGCGCTGGGCGCTGTGACCGAGCCTGTGAGCAGCCGCGCAGAGGAGATCATTCAGGAAATGGTTTTCGGGAAGAGATTGACTGAAGAGTCTGTCCTGCAAATGCGCCTCTCGGGTGCGTTCGACGGGCTGGGCCTGCGCCACGAGGCGGAGGGCGTCATGGCCGACGCAGCGCTGTGGGCAGCCTGGGCCCCCCATGCGCGCGCGGGTGCCCGCTGTGGCCGCTGGCACTGGGTTGCGAATCGTTCGCTGCGGTGGCGCCGACGATGCCGAGGGCGCGCGGCAGCGCCTGGCCGCCCAGGGCGCCATCGTTGATCTCGAAGGCGGGGTCCGGCACGCGCTGGCGGCCGCAGAGGAATACGGAGGCGGCCCCTGGGCCAAGGACGTCGCCAGTGACGACCTTGGCTCTTTGCGACAGCTGCCGGAGGCCACGCCCAGGCGGCCGCCCCAGGCCAGCGGCCGTCTGGGTCGCCGAGGCGCTTCGCGAGCCGTATCTTCCGGCACTTCGAGGCGCTGGCGGCAACCCGCTTGTGGCACAGGTTGGGCGTCGAGCGGCGCGAAGGCATGCTGCCAGCTGGAGGCGCTGGGGTTCGGGCGGTCTGGATGCAGATGCCCACCAAGCCTGCCGGGTTCTTCCCGTCTTACTACTTCCGCGTGGCGTCCTTGCGCAGGCTTGGCGCGCTCGAGGCCACCCGAGGCGCCGCGTGCCGCATCCCGTGCCGGGGCGGGGACGGAGCGGAAGTATGTGGACAGCTGCTGGATCCCACCCTCCAGCATCCACAGCTGCGCAAGCACGGCCGTTGGCGCACGCGCCCGCACAGGGCTCTCGCGGCGGCAGTTGCCAGGCTGCTGCGCGCGTGCCGGGCGGAGGTCGACATGGAGCGCACGGTCCCCGAGCTGAGCCGGGCAAGGAGGAATGGCTCCATCGAGGAGGCCATCTTGGATTTGTACGTTACTTTTCCAGGCAGCGCGCAGCCGATCTACATCGACGTGTCGATCCGCTGCCCACACGCGCAGCGCTACACGCACGCTGCCTCCTGCCCAGGCTCGGCAGCCTCAGCGGCGGCTGCGGACAAGCGCGCGCGCTACGGCAGCGACGTGCTGCCTATCGCGGTGGAGTCCTACGGCCGCCTCGGGCAAGAGTCGCTGCGCTCTCTGGACGTCCTAGCGACGCACGCCGGGTGCAGCCTCCCGGGCGCCTGGGCCGCGCCCCGCGTGCTGCCGCGCTGGCGCGCCGCCCTCGAGCGCGTCGCGCAGTACGCGTGCGCCGACATTGATTTGTTGGCGCCCGGCTGCACGCCCACGGCCGCCGCGGCCAGGGCTGCATACGGCCGCGTATTCGTTTCGTGAGCAGGCAGGAGAGGGTGCAGAGCGTCACCTACGGTAGTGGTAGCGTCACAGAGTGTGCGTATCCGCCAGCGGTGCCTTAGCAGGAGCAGGACGAGGAGGACAAGGAGGAGGAGGAGGAGGAGGACGAGAAGGAGGAGAAGGAGGAGGAGAAGCAGGAGGAGGAGGAGAAAGAGGAGCAGGAGCAAGCGCAGGAGGAGGAGGAGAAGCATGAGCAAGAGCAGAAGCAGGAGCAGGAGCAGGAGGAGGAGGAGAATTTGAGGGGAGCCGTGCATCGGGGCGCCGGCAACACGAGGACGGGGAACGCCGATTTCCATGTTTGGCTG